AGAGAGTATACGAGGATGGGATAAAAGCCGCAAGATGATCGGAAAACTCCAACGAAAGGGAGTTAGAGAGAAAGATGATTTTTTCTGTTGCGGAAAAGAGCCAAGCGGGATCATCCGGTTTGGACCAGTTCGGGGTATGGCTGATTTAGCAGCGCGAGAAAAATTGATAAGAATATATCTATAAACCATTAAAGTGATCGATTTATCTGATAGGAAGATGGGCTTTGTAATTTTAAAGGGGCTCAAATAACTTCAAAATACATGGGCGATAATTTTTTTTGTTCCTCTCCGGCTACGACATTAACGATAGTAGACAAATTATGAAATCGATCATACATATTGTAAGGATAACTTTCCTCGAATCATTTTTACAACCACATCGCCACCTTCGACTTATAGCCCACGCAGGCAGACACGATTACAGGAAAACACACGCGCGCTCACACACACTTATAATGTAAATTACTGTTTTTCTAACCTATCGTATCCCTATATCGTTCAAATGAATGAACAGAGGCTCGAGCCTTGGAACTCTCGATAATTCGTATCGTATCGAATAGTTTATCTTGAACGCGCTTTCCATTTCTGTTAAAAGGAGTATCACAGAATTTGCCAATTCAGCCTCATCCCACGCATATTCCTCGCGCTCCATATCCACATAATTTTTCGCGTCCATAACTATTTTATTGTTAAGACAAGATTTTGTTTTGTTTTTTGTTTTGTTTTGTTTTTTTTTTGTCTCTCTTTCTCTCTCTCTCTCTCTCTCTCCCCGATTCTCACGAAACTTCAGTTTAACCGCTCATTTTTATCTTATCATGGCGAGCAAACACTTCTTACTCTTCGGCCAATGTCAGTTACTACTATTCTGTCGAATGCATGAAAATTAATGAGCGAATGCTAAGCTCTTGAAAGAATTTACGTCGAGTGTGCTCGCGCAGTATTAGAATAAAATTTACTTTTTGGGATAATATAAGAAAAAAAGCAGAAAAAGTCAATATTTTACCACGAAGCGACTAAAACACACGTCGAGCTTGGAAAGCGTTTTCTTTTATCATAAATCTCGAAGTAAAATTTTTAATTACAATGAAAATTATATTATTTAAAGGCGGGTGCTATTTTTTAGAAATCGACAAAGGAGAGGAAAACACCCGCCACTGTCTTGCACTAATCCAATAAAAAATGTCATCTTTTAATAGAGTAAAGGCAAAACAATCTCATCAGGATTTTTTTTTTTTTTTTTTTTTTTTTTTTTTTTTTTTTGTGTTGATTTCTTTCATTTTCTTCGGATCAGATTCATCGAGCATTTTGTTATTTAGCGAGCCGTTGTTTTCACATAAATAAACCACTTTATCTCGCAGATAAGCGGACTTTAAAGCACGCAGAACAAAGCAAACGAAAACACTCTTACATCTAATTAATGAAGATTAAAGCAAACGGAAAAGGCTAGATAAAGAGTTCGCATGAGCCGTGTAGCGCATATTTCGACTAACTCGGGGGCGAGAATTATTTCCGAAAAGCACAACGACATCGTCGATAATCCACAATGACGCTCCAAGTGATAAACGATAGGGACATAAAGGGTAGGGAGCTACGGGCCACCGGCGTGCAACAACAGAGAGACCCAAGCGGAGGAGATCCTCCTCGGTCAGCTGACCGCATCCATGTGTGCGACTGTAGGAGGCCGGGATGCTGCGCTTCCCGGTGGTACGAAGACACATGGCCCCCAAGCAGAAGGCGAATGAGGAGCGTAGAGTGGATACGTGGGGGAGGTGGTATGGCGGGATGGCCGGGGAGGGACGATGGCGATGTCGCGGGGTGGTCGGGGACGGAGAGACGTCGGAAAAATGCACCATTTACGCGGCTTTCATCCTCCTTTCGGTGGACGGAACGCGGACTTGGGAAAGGGGAGACTGTTTTGTTATGACAGAGATTGCGGATATTTTGGGAAAGCGAATTTCGAGGAGAGATTGCCGGGAGACGAGAGGATGTCGAGCCTCTTGGCGTCGCTGTCGATATGCCGCCCAAGTGCCTTTCTCCCTGTTATCTTCAATCGAAAGAAATGCACTCTCTGTCAGGCTGGAAATTTTCATCTGGCGCTGCTTAATAATTCACTATTACATGTATAGGTGAAGGCTGATGTGAAATGCGGGGACTTCGATTATCGTTACTCGCGCGATCTTTCGCCGAGAACTTTAGCCCACCAAAGCGCCTGTTTATACGAAGTCTTAACCGTCATATTTAAAGTTAGAGAAATGTGTAAGGAAAACTCATCGCCTATGCGTAAATATTATTTTAAACTATGGTTGTCAGCAGCATCTCGCGTTCGATGAAAATAATCGCGTGGAACCGTTAGCCTCCTGAAGCAGCAATTGCACCGCGATGCATGCGAAAATATAAAAAAATATTTTAACGAGCAGTTCGTCAAATGATATTCGTCGATCATCCTTGATGGCGTACATATGTTGAATTTGCGTGAAACGGCAAGCTCTTTGCGCTCGATGCCTTACAGTCGAAGAATTTGTAGTAATTATTTACATTGTCATGGAGATCCCGTCCACGATATATTAAAATCTACGCTCGAGTCCGCACGGCCACGGCCGACATTATTATTTTCAAATTATTTTCGTCAATACGATTCAATTAGTACGTATCATTTTATGAATAATGGCCACTGCATTTCCGTAAGAGTTGTTACATTTTAACAAAGTCACTTGCGAATAATAATAAATAATACTGCGTACGACATTGCTGCGCTACCACGTACCACTCGAAAAGTATTAATCTTGATGACAGTGCAAGCAATTTAAATTACGTGTACTTACTAGGCAGGTTTGTGTAAAAAACTGTTTGACTTGTTATTCAAATCACGCCATACGGCTACTGTGCAAAGTTACGGCGAATGCAATTAATCATTGAAAGATTCAATAATGGAAAGTGCGGCAAAATTATATGTGCGTGTGCGTGCGCGCGCGCGCGCGCGTGTGTGTGTAATGAGATGGGATGGAAATGAGACGGACGAATAATGAAAAAGTATCGTTATCGGTATAAGTGAAATGAAAAATAGGCAGAGAGCATTAAACGGAGGAGGAATCGCCCGTGAAGGGATACCAGGGGTTGAAAATCGCATGCACAAAGCATGAAGCACGAAGCACGAAGCACGAAGCACGAAGCACGAAGCACGAAGCACGATGCACGAATCTAATAGACGTGGTGGGTATAACGAATGCAAAGAGTGCGGCGAAAGAGTGAAGCGCAGAAAAGAATAATTCAAAAATTGAAAACATAGTAGAATGGAGGAATAAGTGGCAGGAGTATAAGTGAAAGGCAAAGTTTGTAAGCGCGCGAGAAAGTGATAGGATAAGTAAAAAGAGGAGAGGCCAAGAGAATAACTTAAATGGGGAATTCGATGGAGTGAGAGTGGGAGGTCGTAAGTAAACAAAGTGATAAAGAGTAAGACGACAAAGCTGCTTGCAGAAAAATTGCATAGTAAAATCGAGTGCGAATTGTGATTGTAATTCAGCCGAATTGCCGAGAAGCATCTTCAACGCTCGTCTAATTGGCCGTTCCAGGCCGTACAATTTGCGCGTGCAGTGCTAATACAAAGTTTCGTTTGAAATTTATCAACCCCAGGAGTGGAATATTTCCGCTAAACAAACAATCGCCGATAAATTTTGTAAATACCCCATCCCTGTCACATACACGCTCAAACGGCCATCCCCATCCATTCCATACACGTCAAGGAAATACAATTAGATTATGTAAAAAAGAGGCAAGCTCCTTTAAATAGGTCCAATTAAAAACGGTGCGGTGCATTTTCTATTCGAGATCGAAGAGCGAGTGCCGCCAACATCAACGAGAAAAACAAAAACAATAATCATCCGAAGCAGCATACCTATGTAAAAATTGCGTCATCCAGTCATCATTCCGCATTAACATATGGAATATAATGACCACCGGCAAGGATATAATTACAATAGTAATTACTGGCTGGTTAGCGGCGAGGCGACTCGTTTCGACAACTCCAACGTAAAATGCAAGTTGTTGTTGGCAGCGGATAGAGCTTTATAGAGCTCCGCATAGCGGAATTCGCTTTGCAGTTTTCGAGGAATTGGCCGCTAGGAATTCGCGACTTAACGCAAATAATATCCCCATAAGCTCTGGGACTATCTTCACGTGTGTCTAGTGAAAATCCGGTAGTTTGCCGTTGATCAGGATCGGTGGCCGATCTCGCGCGCGTGTTTTTTTTCTCTCCTCGTTCTCTTGCGCGCGTGCACGCGAAAACAAGTGAAACGAGGAACGACGACGTAGGAGTGCGCCTGCGTCGTCCCTCTCTCCCTCCCGCTTTCCCTCCCACCCTCTCGCACTCACGACATGGCTCACACACACACACACTCTCTCTCTCTCTCTCTCTCTCTCTCTCTCTCTCTAGGTCTCCCGTTCGTTCAGTCTCGACTCGCCGGCCGAGCGCCGCTCAACACGAGTGCGATAGGGTAGGCGCTCGGCCGCGGTTCTGACGTCAGTCGCGTTATCGACCAATGAGCACCACTCGTGAACCTACACGAGCTCTCTTTCTCACTCGCTCTCTCATTCTCTCTCCCTCTCTCTCTCTCTCTCACTTCTCTCTCTTTCTCTCGATTCCTCGGCTCCTCGGCTCTTCGGCTGGCGTCGACACCTAGGGAGTATGAACGGCGAGACTCCCTCTACACAGCTCGTCTTTATTTCAAGCGAGCCCGAGGCGCCGAGTGCACGCCACGCACTTTCTAAATTTGAATACGCGCCGTCCGAAAAGTCGCTCGACTCTCCCTCTCTCTGTCTGTTTGTCTACCCGTCTCTCTCTCTCTCTCACTCTCACTCACTCACTCACTGTATCTCTTCCTCTCTGTCACCCATTGCCTCCTTCTGCTTCTCACTCTCTCTCTCTCTCTCTCTCTCGTCTACCGTTGTACTCCCTCGTACTCTCTCTCTCTCTCTCTCTCTCTCTCTCTCTATCGGTCTTCGTCTGCGCGCGCAAGCACGGCAGCAAAGCGGAGCAGCGCCGTGGGTTTTTTTAGCAGTGAGTGTGTGTATCCCGTGAGAGACGCGAGTATCGTCGCGCGCGCGCGCACCAGCCGCTCTCCGGTGCCTCATCCGTGGAGGAACTCGAGGAAAAAGAGAGAGAGAGTGTGTGTCGAGGCGGCCGAGGATGCCGTCGCGGGCGCTCTAGCTAAGGAGATAACTCTTTAATAAGGAGGACTCCTAGTAGCACTAGGACGCACGCGAGAATAGCGAGGACGTCGAGCCGTGCCGCTGAGGGACGTGTGTCACCGGCTTCCGTGTGACAGTGCGCGAGGATGAAGCGCACGAGCTGCTGACGTGCGGTGAGTCTTTATTTTATTTTCCTATCCTTTTCATTTCATTTCATTTCATTTCCTTCGTTGTCACACACGCAGTCCCTCTCTCTCTCTCTCTTTCTCACTCTCTATATCTATCCCTCCCTCTCTCTTTCTCTTTCACTCTCTTCTTATCTCGCTCTTTCTCTCACTCACTCTCTCTCTCTCTCTCTCTCTCTCTCTCTCGTATACATAGCCACGCGCGCGCGCGCGCGCGCCTACATACTTACGTACGTTACGTACACAATATCGCTCTCTCTCTCTCTCTCTCTCTCTCTCTCTCTCTGTGCTGAGGACACGTCCTTCGAGTGCCGCGGCTCGACGTCCTCGCCGGTTAACTGTTGCACGCGAGGCTCCGCACTCGCCAACAGGTTTTGCGCGGCCTTTTAAAGGCCTTAGCGCGGCTCTGAGGATGCAACGAGCCGAGGGAAAGGCCGTCGCCGAGGAAAAACCGGGCTTCCGGTTAATTGTCTACGCCGTCTCTTCGGCGTCGCCTGTCCTTCCGTTACCCCGGCGAGACTTGGCAATGTTCCAGGTTGGCGAGCGAACGATCGCCCGGGTTGCGGATTTCGGCCCGCGAGGCGGAGCGAGCGCTCCTCCTTTTGCTGATCCTCTCCTCCCTGCCGCTTGTCTTTCTTCTTTTCGCCAATTTTTTTACATCTTCTTTTCTCCTCTCTAACCACTCATCTCTCTTCTCCTCCACCACCACCTCCTCCTCCTCCTCCTCTTCATCTTCTTTTTCTTATTCTTCGTCTTATTCATTTTCTTATTAGTCTTCATATTATTATTCTTCTTCTGCTTCTTGGACAGTCTCCACTTTTCCCGTTGATCGTTCAAACCGCTACGGCATGTCTTCGTTCGCGCGGATTTTCGCTGCACTTCGATGATCGGTCGCAAGTCTTACTTTTCTTCGCATACCACTGAAAATCGTACGCTGATCGATGAAATCTCTGATAAATAAAAAAAAAAAAAATAAATAAAAAATGAAAAACAGCCCCTCCTTTCGCGAGCTTATCACATTTGAATTGACAATGGAATAAGTTGGATTTTCAGGACAATGTCGAACTCGGATATGAAAAGTCTGTGAATATAAAAGCTCACCGAGCTTAGTACTTTGTTTACGAGCGTCAAGTGTGCTATTCGATATCGCGCAAGTATTGGTTTTAAGCCTCGACGCTGCTCACGGTGCTTGCAGTGAGCTTTCCGCAAGCTCGTCGGCCGTGCAAAAGCGAGGATAAAAAACGCGGGAGGGAAAAAAGCCTCCCTTCCTCCTCATCTTTTTTGTTTTTTGCTCGCGATGCGCCTGGCCATTGAACCTCGAGCTTGCAAGTATACGCGCAACAGGGGCGATAAATGGGATGGGGGTGCTCACGTTGCGCAACCTTGAACCCCGCGAGGACGCGGGCGAGAGAAACTCGTGCTTTTCGATAGTACCGAAGCAAGTGCGTGCGTGAGTGCGCGAGTGCGTGAGTGCGTGAGTGCGTGCATGGGTACGTGTAAGCTTGCGCGCACATAGGTATAGGCCCTTTGCGACGGGTCATTAAACTCGCGGCCGCTTGTATAATAAACCGAATTCGATCGCCGCCTCCCTCCCCGATACGAATTTTTTCCCGAACTCCAGGAAGCCTATCGAGACCGTCACAGGTAACGGGCTATTTATTTTGTACGCCTCTTCTGAAAAACGTACATCCTACCAATGACCTTACTTCCGTAAAATTAGCGCCTGCTATTGGACAAATTTCACATGGATTCAGTGTTTTATACTCGCACGTTTTATAATTAGTCGAATAAAGAGCCGGTTGATTTGTAAGAATGGAGGAGAAATGAAGATGATTGAAGCGACAGCTAAGGCCTATCAGCTATGCGGACATGTGCTTGGGCTTGAATTTGATATTCTAATGCGATAATTATACGGGTGACACATCTCAATTGTAATGTGATAATTTTTATTTTCAACCCTATCAATCTCAGTGCTGCGGCATTGAGGTTTTGTAAATACGACTTTAATATTATCTCATTGTTGAGGCAATATAAGAAAATTTGATATTATAACAGATGGAGAGAAAAATGTATTCTAAATGAATTTTTCTCCAGTATTTTAGAGAAGATAAATATGCGATTTCTAATGCAATTACATTTTACGCGATAATACACAATGTTCACGGAATGTATACGTAATAATTTATTGGGATTTAATAACACGAGGTTATTCGTTTAAGATTATTAAACATATGTGTATAGAAAAATTGCTTGTTAAATGACTCGATATCGTTAATCAAAATTTCGTTTCTATCTAACGACCAAATGTAATGACGAGTATGAATTATCGCTTTACATGTAAGCCAATACTTTTCGTTCCTACGCTAACGGCATTTAAATGAGCGGTGGATGCTGCTCCTCGCAAATTGTTATAATATTATTCGTATGAGCGAGCGAGAATTATACGCATTCGTTTTTGAATGAGCAAGACGAGAAAGCAATAGGCATTTGTATCGTTATATCATGGACGTTAAAGGATTCGTTAAAAAAAAAAAAAAAAAAAAATATTATCAGACATAGTGGGGGATTAATATGCAGACAATTAATGAAATTTTTAAGAGGGAATAATAAAATCCGCGAGTCTTGGATTCTCTGTTTGACGAGAATGAAGAGTAGGTAAGACAGAATGGCAAAAGAATGAAAATATAAGAAACATTAACGTGGCTGCAGCTCTTGCAAGTCAATTAAATGTGTTCCTTAATCCAATCAAATACGACTGCGAGATATTTTATTAAAATTTCGACTACCGCAATCGCAAGAAACTCGCAAGTAGTCGTAAAAAATTTCCCATCCATACATAGCGCGCGAGCATTCTCACTCTCTCCC